TGACCCCCTAAATTCTCAAACCCCCAAGTTTCAGCCCGTACAGAAATTTTCCGAAAATGATGAGGAGCCTATGAACATCAAAAAACGACGTTTAAGCGATTTTGATTTTTTCCGTGTTTTTTGCCCCTAGCTCTGGAACCACTATATCGAATTTCAAAAACTAAAAAGCTTTTGCTTCCTTGGCTTAGTAGTAAATTTGTGTGAAAACTTCAAAATCATAGCGGTACTTCTCCAGTTATAGGCGCTTATAAAATTAGGAGATAGACCGACAGACAGAGTAACTGACAAACAGACAGATCAACGGTAGTGCGTGACAAGGTTTTACAAAAAAAACAAAATCTCAGCTTGGAAATTATTTGCGATTACAATACTGCCTCGAGAGTTTTGGTGTCGGAAGTAAAAAGATACGTAACGAAATATTTTTAGTGAAAAGGCATGTTGATAAAAAATGTTTGGCATTGTTTTCTCATTTTTATCAAGTTACTTGATTTTAAGATGGGTGTTGGAAAAAGGTGTCCAATAGCGGAGAAAAACGTATATATTTTCAAGCCACTCAAACTCCTGCTTCAGCATAGTTGCCGTTTTGTTTAATCACGGAAAAGTCTCGAAAATTCGTGGTCTCATGACCGCGAGATTTTGACTGATGAAAAATGTCGATTATGAGTTCCGTTTGACAATAGGCTAGTTGAGACTTTTTTAAGTCGGTCTTAAATAGTCAATATTTGTTCTGTTATACAAAAAAAATAATACTATATTTTTTCAAACCTACAAGGTCTTAAAACCTTAATTTGGAAATGTATTTTTCTCAGACAGGCGAATACGTTGTCCGCTGTGTTTGGCACATACTAATGCGTTCTGACGTCATACAATTTGTAAACAGCAGCTCGCAGCACCTGTCAAACTCTCAAGCATATAAACATGACTTCAACTAGTTTACCTAAAAAATATAGTAATTATCGTTCTTGTATAGTCCGAGAATGTCGAAACACATCGTATAAAGACTCCAGGAAAGCTGCGGATTAGAGTTCCCATGGAAATAAGTATACGCAATAGTGTGTACTGCTTCGAGCATACTTGATGTTCGGGACATATTGTACATTTCAATGTGTAGATTTAATCGTGTCGTTTAGGTTGGACATAACCTACAGCATCATTCCTTGCAGTTGTGTATATTAGATAATTTTTTTCAGAAGTTATGAGCTTATCTTTGAATGATTTCTGAAAAGAAGAATTTTGTATGTGTATTCGTTATTATTTCTGTTTATGTATGTCATTCTATCAGATGCATTCTACTTATATAGAAGTCTTGATATTCCTCAGTTCGGTAAAACTAGGTTGAAGCCAAAAAAATTACAATCCATCAATATTTCAATTTTCTGCAAATTTGTGCTCCCTACTTTTACGAATCCTACGTCTAGGGTTGTTTTTTCAACACAACAAGAAAACAATAACTTTCTACGTTGATCAGGATGACGTTTCTTTGTTCCCAATTTGTTTGACGTCACATTATGGCTGATACTGTTTTCACCGTTTCGTATCAAAAATGCAAAATATCTTGCGCTTTTAAAAATTGAAATAGATGTATTTCGTTTCCCTAAGGCAAATACTGAGAAATACTCATCTATTCTATGGAATTAGATTATAGCCTATTTAGCTATCTGGCATGCGACATTGACCATTCGACATTCGAAAACACCTCGATGGAAAATTTTTCAGTTTTGACCAGCGTAGCAAGCGTGATGTCCCCTCACATCTTGTCATGGTTAAGTGAAGTATCACCGACTGCTTGACTGTTGACCCCATCGAAGCGCATATCGCGCTGCTGCAACTCAAAATTAACTCACTGTGTCGGGTGATTAGCTCGCCCACAGTCCAATTAGCTCAATTTAAACGGATAAAAAAGATGTGACGGTGATCGGTGGCATTCCTTAATTCCTATTTAATTGACCCAGTGTTGGGACATCCACTCGGATCATTAAGTTTTTAGATAATGGTCACGATATGGTCCGCCTAAGTGGATACTTGTTAGACGTATTAGAATTAGAAGTCATCCATCAAAAGGATGATTAAGCTTTATAAGATTCATCAAGATGATGTAGACTAAAATAATGTTTTGAGTTTTGTACAGGGTGGCCAACTAAGAACTTTTTCTGTTTCTCAGTTTTTGTTGTATCTCTAAAAATAAAATGGTGAGGAGTATCCAAAGGTTTCTGTAAAAAACACCGTGTACCTTCGAAATGGCTGAGCTGATTTCAACGAACTTGGGCTAGTTGAATAGAGCTGTTCCTGTGCTACAAGCGCTATAATATTTGAAGTTTTGTTGGTTTCACACTTAGCCGGTAGAGGGGTTTCTTCTACATTCCGACAGAAATTCTCAAAAAAATTAAGTGTATTGGTGTGATATTTTTTTAATGAATGAATAGCTAAATGATGTCTAAACAATCTCGCGAAAACTGCATCTCGATATCTTGTTCCTAACATAAAATTTAGGCCAAAGAAGATTTTATACGTAAGTCCCTTAAATTTTTATTTTTTGGGCATACTTGTTTATTCATCAGAATAAAATCATCCTTTTTTAAAATGTTAGAAATATTTGAATAAAAGGTAAGTAAGTTAATCTAATAACAAAAGGCACATTTTTTGTTTAAATGTATATTCAGTATGGGTATATACGAAAAAGACAATTAATAGAAGCATGCCATGGAATACAACAAAACAAGTACCTGTTTAATACAGATAAGCCTCAAATTGTCAATAGTTGTTAATAGTTTCGCGTTACTACTAATGTCGAAGAATTCCGCAGTAGCAAAAAGATATCCAAATCGGCGCCTTAGCGATGTAAGAGTTTTTCTTCGATCAGTGGCGAGCTTACGAGCCAATGGTAGTTTTCGGCCTACATTTCAACGATAAAGAATTGGAAGGACATACGAAAATATTAACTCCGTACTAGGATATATTGGAGGAAATCTTCATGTTAGCACAAGCGCATTATCCCTTGAGTTGGACATATCACGAACAACAGTTCAAAATATTTTGAAGGACCATAGTTAAGTTCTAATGGCCACCAAAATATAGGAATTTAAACTACTTATTTAACTGTTCTTAATTACTCTTAGAATGTACCCATATCATGTCATTTTGCAGCAGGTCTTGAAAGACGAAGACTGATCGGAGGTTGGACTATTGTCATTTGATGTTAGGCACGATACGCGAAAATAGAGAGTTTTTATTTCAAATTCTTTGGACCGGGGAAGCCACCTTTAATACCGACGAGAATCGATCTGCACAGTATCTATCATTACTGGTCTGCAGAAAATACGCATTGGTAGAGTGAAGTTCAGCACCAAGGGCGTTGGTGGTGTGGCATCCCGGGAGGCAGAATTATTGGATCATATTTTTTCGAGCAATCAATAAATGGCAATGTCTTTCTTGACTTTTTGGACAATCAATTACCGTTGTTGTTAGAGCATATTGATGTATTCAAGAGCGTTTCATGGATTGGAAGAGGAAGTTTGTTTCCATGGCCTTCGCGATCACCAGACATAACTTGTCTGGATGTTTATTTATGGGGACCGTTAAAGGACACCGAGTTTCAGACTTAACCTACAAACCAGAAAAAATTTGAAAAGCCAGAATCCTAATGCAATACGTAACATACAAAGAGCCGAAATTGAAGCTGCAGGTTTGTCTACCCATCAGAGGCTTCAGGAATGCATAGAGCGTGATGGTCAGTATTTCGAGCATTTACTGGGCCATTAAAAACCTTTCTTTATTAAATCGGTCCTTTTAGGGACACAACTTGATAATAAAAAGAAATCCTAGAAAAATTAGCTTAGAAGAACTGAAATTTCAGGACTCTCCGTATAAAATTTTCCTTACCTTAAATCTTAGGTTAGGAACAAGATATCGAGATGCGGTTTCCGCGAGCTTATTTAGACATAATTTAGTTACTTTTTCGTCAAAAAGTCATAGCAGTGCATTTCATTTTTTTGATAAAATTAATCATTTTCATCGGAATGTCGAAAAAATCCTCTGGTGGCTACATGTGTAACTAACAAAATTTCAAATATAAAGTTTGTAGCCCAGGAATGGCTCTTGTCAACTAGCCTAAGATTGATAAAATCGACTCAGCGGTTTCGAAAATACGTGTGGTGGTGTTTTTTTCTGAAATATTTGAATACACACTTTAATTTTAGAGGTGCAGCAGAAAGTGCCATGATTGATTTTTTTAATTTGCCGACGGACCGTGTTCCTTTCAAATGTCCCCCACGATGCACGGGAGCATTTTCAGGCAAAGTTGTCAGGCTTTTAATTTTTTCAGTATTGGCATTGTGGAACAATCTGCTTGAAGAGTCTGTTCTCAGTCCAACTAACCTATAAGTCAATAATTAGATTAAATGGATGTCTGCGATCTGTTAAGCACATGAAGGGCTTAGGGCAATAAGGTACCTAAGCCACACTTTTTTAAAAAAATACGTTTTCTCCTAAATGCACCTGTAGTGTGGGTATAGGGGAGACACGGGCAGCCGGAATCACTTTCGGAGAGTGCCAATTCATAGCACGAAATTATTAAAAAATGATCTATCTGAATACTTTTATGTGGATTTTAATTATTTCAGAAACATTAAACACTACTATTTTAACTTTACAATATAGTTTGAGCAAGTTACGGCCTAAATTATTAAAGACTGTATTTGATTCTATTTGCCCAAACCTCTAGGGTAAAAGGAATCACAGGTGAGGGCAAAAGGATTCAAAAGAAAAAATATAATATGGAAAATAGAAAAATATATATTATCATTAAGGAAAACTGAAAATGGTAACTCTTACAATAATTATTCTCTTAACCTAATTATTTTCTCTAATCTTTAACCTGATTTTATTAATCTTGATATATATAAAATAAAAAAAACTATTATTAGTAGAAACTGAAAAAGGTATTCTATAATTATTCTTAACTCAATTATGTTCTCTGATCTTTGACCTGATTTTGACAATCTTGACAAATATAAATTCCAGCTTGTGCATTTCTGATGTGCCCACTTCTCACAGAAATTGCACTGTATCCAGTGTTCGCCTGGAATGGAGTTTTCAAAGGAATCGTCACATATCAAACATGGAGTTTCTTCTTCATCTGGAGCGGTTTTCGGTGGTGAAGGTGGACGAGGTATTTTCAGTTTGCTGGAATCTGTCTCTTGTTGGATCTTCCTTCTAACGCTTTTGACACATTCTTTGCTCTTACTTTTTTCTCTAATTTCTTCTTTAATTGGCGTAGAAGTCAAAATCTCTGATTTCTGTTGATTCCTTTTTGTTTTGGGTTCTTTTCGTTTATCTCATTTAGGTATAATATGAATATCAATAATTTTAATGCGTTTATTTCCTTTTAGAGCGTCACTAGCTTGTTTTAAGGTCGTACTATTATTGAGACCAGAAGGTTCAGGTTTTGCGATATCATTATGGGCAGATGTATTGAGCGGTCCAATTTCAATAACATCCATATCTTGAGGATTATGGTTAATACGGACCTCTGGTTCTTCCATCTTAGTTACATCTGCTGGAAGGAAGTCCACTTCGGAAAAAACATCTAAATCACATCTTGCAATGCCAGTTTTTTCGAAACCTTTTATAGCGTTTGTTGGTGTTGCAGCTTTAAGGTAGGCATTTTTAAAAATTTTGCCTACATCAAACAACGTAACGCGTTGTGCAGGATGCGCTTTTTGCCACTTGTCAATTTCATTTTGGAAATAGGTTCCGAAAGGGCCATAAACGGACACATCTAGCGGCTGGAGCTTGTGTGTCGTGTGGGGTGGAACCGACAAAATGATGACATTATTCTGAGAGGCATAATCAAGGACATCAATAGACCTATGAGAAGCATGATTGTCTAAGATTAATAGACATTTATGGTCTTCATTTGGTCTAACGTTGCTTACAAAAAACTTCATCCACTCCAGGAAAGCTTCGGAACTTATCCATCCAGAATCAGTTACTAATTGAGAAGAGCCTGGTGGAGTTCCTTCCATGTACCTTGGATTTTTCTTTTTCCTTGGGAAAACTAGTGTAGGAGGAATATATGCCCCAGCAGCGGAACAACAAAACAGTGCCGTTACTAGTGTGCCTCGATCGGAGGAAGATATAGCTCCAACTCCCTTTTTGCCTTTCAGGGAAATAACCTTAGGAGGCCTATTTGTAGAGGTTTGGATCCCTGTCTCATCTACATTGTACATATTTTCAGGCAAAATATTGTTTTTCTCGATGACGTCCCTCAAATTTTCGAAAAACATCTCCACTTGTGGGCGATTAAAGCCACTGGCTCGTGCAACACTGGTCGGCTCAGGTGTCCGTAAGCTTAACTCAGGATGTCTCTTCATAAAATTTTGATACCATTGCTGACCCGCTGCATTATTTTTAAAACAATGAATAATGTGGTTCGCTTCGGCGTATTGATATGCTAACACACAAAGATCTCGTCGCGTAAGCCCATAAAAACGGCTATCAAGCTCTTTGATATGGGTAACAAATTCTTGTTCTTCTTCTGGAGTGAAAACCGTCTTAAATCTGCCCAGAGATTTAGTAGTTTTATTAGACTTCACATGCTTAATGAGCGTTGAGAATGGAATGTTATATATTAAAGACGCTTTTCTTATCAACTCCCCGTTACGCACTGCTTGCAGTGCATGTTCCATGGATGTTTCTGTCCAGGTGCTTCCTCGTTCCGACTTTTATAGTTGAAAACCATCTAGAAAAGAAGCGAAAATTACATACCTACATGAAAATCGAAAATTGATATACAGGCAAAAGGAATCATCATCCCTTTTGCCTGATTCCTCTTGCCCGAAATGCACTGTCACAAAGGAAATAAAAATTTACGAGACGCTGGCAACAATGGACATATTTTCAAAGTTAGGTAGAAAAGTAGAAGTGCCAATCTTTCGATTATTAACTAAATCGTTTTGAATAAATGGCTGAGTCACTACTTACCCTTCTTCAAAAATCCTTTGAACAACTATTCAAGACGTAATTAATTAGAACACCTTAATAAATATGAGGTAAAAACTTTAGCACGAGGGAACGCGTTGCGCATGAACTTGTGCCATACTCAGCGAATTGTTAAACAGCGTTGTCAGGTTTCTGTGATGAAGCTGTTTTCATTTATTTAGCTGATTCCTTTTGCCCACTATATCCCTTTTGCCCGATTTTACCCTACAATACATATAATATGAACATCGGAAGTTGTTTTTTGACAATTCGCTGATAGATCTCGCTATAGTTTCTAAATAGGGTTTGTACAGAGAACAAAGATGGCTATGGACTTAGTCCAGAAGACAGTGTGAGGATAGACGCTATCCTTCGACCGATAGCAATTAGTGACTCCGAGCGAGTAGCTCAGGCGGATAAATAAATGTGTGGGTTGAGACTTTAATGCCGTTATAGTTGTGGCTTATGATATTGTTAAGCAGGAAAACTATTTTTCATATAAGTCTCACAATATCACTGAATATCTATCTATCAGAATATATAGGACCATCTGAATTGGGAATGACTATCGTCCACTGCAAATCAATGTATTACGTGTCAATAATATGTAATTTTGTTATGATAGCCTCATACACTTCTTGACCAAATAAGTTTGTCTGTGCGGCCTGTGAGTTTCTTCAGTCTTCAAGAACAGCTACAATTCTTTCGAGATATAGAATGCTTTATATCAATAGTGACTGGTTGTATGGACATCATTACGCCCTAATGCAAAAACATCGCATCGACCACAGTTCTAATGAAAAAACAGAACTCATGCATTTGGCCCATGTCTGTTACAAAAAATAGACTTTAACTTTATTTGATGATATGCGAAAATTTAAGGGTGTGAATCTACATGAAAGATTAATGTTAGTATGATATATAAACTATGGTTCAAAAATGTTTCCTTACAAAAACTCGGGGTGTTGAAGTTTTAGGAAAAAAATAGAAATTAATTAATATTTTCAGAACCGCTCTAGATATTTCACTGATATTCAGTACGTCGTGAAAGTTCATAAAGTTGTATATATTTCAATGCAAAAATAATTTGTAGCTTAAACAGTGGCGTGCGTGCGGGATATTTTTAAGAAAACAGTGGTACGTCAATGGTTTTTTACCAAATAAAAATTATTTTTTAATTCCCCGTTCAATTTAAAACCAATGATCTTTCTTGAATTGATTTTCTTCGATTCGTCATTTTTGAGTAAAAAAATAAAAACTATTCTATTGTCCGATAAAATTAATGTAATAATTGACGAAAGCAATTTAGCAATAAATATCTAGTTGCTCTGGAATATGCCACTGGCTTTTGATATCTGAGAAGTCTCTGTTATTCAAATCTGTTCGCTGTGACATCTTTTTCATTATTTAGTTTTTACAAACTTGTTAATAATGGTGAATTCAAATGCAGATATGGCGGAAATGCATTACGTATATGGTCTACCGGTAATGGTGAGGAAGCCATACGGATTTATCACCAGAGATATCCCGATCGTGCTTTGCCAGATAGTCGAATCTTTTCTAATATTCATCGTCGTCTTGTTGAAACTGGTTCTGTCCGAAAAGAAACTTCTGAAAGTAGAGCTCTAAGTGTGAGAACACCTCAAATTGAGGAAGCAGTGCTGCACGAAGTCGAAAAACATCCTCAGACGAGTACTAGGAAGATCGCTAGACACTTAAATATTTGCCATCAAATTGCTTGGAGAATTTTAGTGGATTTTTTGTTATATTCTTACCATATTTTAAAAGTACAGGCATTACTTCCCATTGATTTTCCAAGGCGTGTGACCTTTTGTCAGTGGTATCTTCAAAAAATTACACAAAATCCGCAATTTGAATCAATGATTCTGTTCACGGACGAAGCTAATTTTTCTAGCAATGCCATTCAGAATTTCCAAAATAATCATTTGTGGGCAGAAGAAAACCCATTTCCAACACCAATTTTCGGTTAACGTATGGGCAGAAATTATTGGCAACAACTTTTTTGGACCATTCTTCTTGTCGGGACGACTTGACGGACAGACTTACCTAAATTGTCTTCAACAACAGTTGCTTTTGCTGCTTGATGATGTTCCATTAGTAATAAGAAGCAATATGTGGTACATGCATGATGGTGCACCAGCGGATTTCAGTGTAGCGGTTCTTAATTATTTACAAACTTTATCAAGACCTCAACAGTTTAGATTTCTTTTTATGGGGCTATATTAAGACACTGTAAAGAAATTAAGAGAAACAATAGTTGCAGATTGTGATAGAATAAAAACCACTGCAGGGATGAGAAGCAGGGCGGAAGCATGCATACTAAGTGAAAGAGGCCATTTTCAACAATTTTTGTAATCATTTCGTTGATTTTAATGTTGTGTTTATATTGTCAGTTGTTGTTGTTTAATTTTTCCAATTAATTTAATAATAATAAGTTAGACAATAGAACGGCGCATCGAAGGAAAACGATTCAGGAGATATAATTTGTTTTAAATTGAATGGGAAATTCAAAAATTATTTTTTATTTGGCAAAAAAGTATTGGGGTACCATTTTTTTCTTAAAAAATAACAAAGTCAATACCCGTACGCACGCCACTGTTAAAGCTAAAAATTATTTTTGCATTGAAAAATATGCAACTTTATTAACTTCCACTACGTACTAAATATCAGTGAAATATCTGAAGCGGTTCTGAAAATATTAATCAATTTCCATTTTTTCCTAAAACTTCAACACCCCGAGTTTTTGTAAGGAAACATTTTTGTAGCATAGTTTATAGAGCAAACTAACATTAATTTTTCATCTAGTTTCACACCCTTAAATACCCGCACATCGTTAAGGAACACTCTGTATAAGGAACCCGTCAAGTTGAACGGGTGTGTGCTATTTGAAGTCTAACAACAAAGTCACAAGTTATATGTTTATTAAACAAACTGTTTTATATTACCCTTAGAAACCCGTTTTCAATGAGGTATTTTTAAAAATTTTACAAAAATATTTTTCCGATTCTGTTGCCACCAAATATTTTTCTCAAAATGTAAACCCACTGTAGCATTTCAATAAAACTTTTTCCAAGTAAGGTCTGTGTGACTTAGGTATCTTATTGCCCCAGGCCGTTCAGCTGTGGTACCTCGATGTCTAAGTTCTGGCTTCGTGGCTGCTGCAGTAGAAACAATAACCAGGATAAAGCGTAGTGAGCAAAATTTATGAACAATCTTCGATATATCCGTTAAAACCGTTTAAGGAATCATTGTGAATTTGTCGTGTGCAGTCATGTATATAACAGTAAATAAAAAATACGATACGATACGATATGGTGGTGTCGCTTTATTGCTTGGGAATTTATAGCACACAGAGCACTAATCTGTATAATTATGAACTTATAGCCGTTTAAGGTAATGCATTTGGTTGCGCCTGCTACAAGACTGATACAAAATATATGCTGGTACCCATCTAGTGCTCAATATTAATTGTCCTGCTCAACGAATACTTATATTGGAAGAAGCCAAACCTATATTTTCACATTGCAAATTTGCATAGTTTTAGGCTCATTTGACTACCGTTGCTTACCAAAGTGACAACGTTATATCAATGTCGTGGCCATATCATAGAATTGACCATGAAATGGTCAACTAAATGTGACCGTATCGTTAGATCGTCAACGTTTAATCATGTGGTCTACCATGATTCATCATATCGTAAAATAGGGTGTCCATAGAATACATAAAAGTGCAGAATATGTTACGAACTCGTTTATTGTTATTAAAGCATAAGAAATATTTTTATTACAACCAGTCACTTCACGAAATTAAAATATAAGAATTATATTAATGCAATCTCAAATTGCATAACGTGTCGCAAATAAAATTGTTGAACATATCAGATATCACAAATTAAGTTATTACCTCGCGTGGTCACCCTACTCTCATTTATTTGACGTGTAACCTAGGAAAGAAATAAAAATTAGTTTTGCATACCTAGAATATAGTAGTTTGATAGAAAAGCACAAAATTTTAGCTGGCATGGATTTTAACTTCAAATAAATATATATATACGAATATACATTACAGTAGAACAACAGCTGATTATCTAGTTTCACCAAATCGGCAAACGACACAATTCTGACGGATCCCTCAACGTCAGGTGGACAGTGCCGTATTTTGTTTTGTACGCTACAGTTTGATTTTGTACTTTTCAAAAGCTCCATTATTTACACAAGTTCATTTGCATACAAAAAAAAAAACGCTACAAGCCAGTTTTCACGCCGGATTCATTATTGCCAACGTTACAGACTAATACAAATATATCACTAGCTGATCAGCTATTCACCTTAGTAGAGGTCAAGATATGATGTACAGGGTCTGACCGGAAAGTAATCTCATTTCCTTCCGCCATGACTGTACTTCGGAGCGTGCGCGCAGCGACTGGATTCGGTAGAGGGCGTTCATAGCTAACGAATGAGCGGCTGGTCAGTTGTCCCCGAGCACTTAGTCAGGACAGGCATTTTCGCGCGACGTGTTTCTGTGAGTGGTGCAAGCCGAAAATGCAGCGTTCGTTAGAGCAGAGATACGCGATTAAATTCTGTGTGAAACTCGCTAAATCTGCGATAGAGACGTCTGATATGATCAAGCAGGCTTACCCAGGTGTTGCTTTAGCAAGAAGTGGTGTGTTTCGGTGGCAACAGGCCTTTTTGGAGGGCCGGGAAGAGGTCGCTGATGAAGACCGTGCTGGAAGACCTTCGACTTCGACAAAAACCGATAATGTGACTCGTGTGCGCAAAGTTTTCAACTCAGACCGTGGACTAAGTATTCGTTTAATTGCCCAAATGTCAAATTTACCAAAAGCTGGGTCCGACAAGACATCGCAGCCGACTGGAAGTTGCACTGCGACAACGCCCCGGCTCACACCGCCTTTCTTGTGAACAGCTACCTGACCAAGGCCGGCATCCTAACGCTTCCGCAGCCGCCCTACAGCCCAGATGTGGCCCCCCGGACTTTTTTTTGTTTCCTCGCCTGAAAAGGTCGATGAAAGGCAAGCATTTTGAGACGACAGAGGGGATCCAAGCAGCATGCACCGCGGCTCTCAAGGCTATTCCGGAGAATGCCTTCCGTGACGCCTTCAATGTGTGGAAATCGTGCTGGCAGCGCTGCATCCACGCAGAAGGAGCCTATTTTGAAAGTTTTCAAAGAATTGTAACGATTGGCTCAATGCATTTTTTTAAATCGACTCAGTCCTATTACTTTCCGGACAAACCCTGTATACTCGTGAACCACGTCCAAACTTCCATCACAATTCCACAGCTTTTTGACGTTGTGATCGGTATTTGTGTTATCCGCATATTACTATTATAGAGTATCTTCCCGTCTCAAAATTCTTCAATCTCACTTTCTACCCCATTTTGTAACGAATTATTAGAATCTTTACTTCGAAAAAAAAAACTTTGCTCTTAACGACCACCGTTGAAATGAGAACAAAGCACTCCCAGCGCCTCTATCGGTACATAATGTAATTATTTCACGATTTGATCAAACATGCTTGACCACTCCATCGGTTAATGATTTTTTATTGATCTGGTGAACGCACATCATGATCTGGCCAATAGATAATGATACATTTCATCAAATGCTCCATCACTTTATGAAATGGCCAATTTTACGATAAGGCCACGACATCAACACAATAATAATACCTACCGATGGTAAGATCTACTTTTATTATTATATTGTGAATCACATTTTTGAAAAATAACACATAAATACGAAATTAATGAGAGAACAGTCATAAAATTAACCTGTGTTAAGTCAACTTGTTGTACGCCCTTTCATCCTGACTACAGTCTGCGATTTTGTCAGTAAACAAATCATAGGCTTGCTTTTCCTACCTAATCTAAATGAAATGTATTTGTAATCGATGATAAAAATCAAATTCAAAGCGTTTCATAAGGAGTATCAAAAATACCGGGGCTTATAGGTGAGCTTTTCGGTCCAGGATATCATTTCATTTCCAGTTTATCCCATCTATGAAGTTTTTGCATTTGCATCTTTTAGAACATATATATTTTGTTAGTTTGGTTAACATTTTTCTTTTCATATTATCACAAGCAACAAAGAAAATAAGATGCCTCAGGCTAAAGTTCAAGTACCTTAAGGGAAGTACTCACTTGGAGACCACGTTGCGCGATTTTCTTTAGGTGGTCTAGAGACCGTCTAGACTTGAGACATAGACATGGTGTAGAGACACCGATCTTTGCCTCGTCTAGCGTCCACACTGTGATGTGAATTTTTCTAGTTTCATCTTCGCCAACCACCATGGCGGACTTTGCTTTGTGCGCAATGAGTGCCTGTTTAGTAATACTTTCTAGTAAAAAAGCGTGAAAACGTAAACGTTGGTGGACGCGCGAAGTGTTCGCAGAAGGACCTAGGTTCGGCACTGAACTAAATAATTTAAGATTGGAGGACAACATGGGTCTTCGTAATTTCACCCGGCTGATACCTTCTGACTTCGAAGATGGTTGGAGGAAAAATAATGAAGCAGGATACAAAATTTAGAGAAACCATCCCTTCTCTTCGACTGGCAGTCACACTGCGTTACCTGGCAAGTGGAGACTCGTTCAGTAGTCTCATGTACACCTTCAGAATCTCTAAGCAGGTAATATCGAAAATGGTACCGGAAGTTTTCGAAGCGATTATCTCATCATTAAAACAACATATAAAGGTATGTATACAAAAATAATTTTATTTTGCACAAAACATGTTTATTTTAATTAGACATTTTATGAAATCAATGCGAAACATTTATAAAGTGGTATAATTCGCAACAAAATCGCGAATGTCATTGCTCATTGTATCCCTTGACTCCAATTGTTGTTCAAGTTGAACATCTCCAACTACTTCTAGACTAGCAGAAGGTGTAGACGGATTCGAGCAACAAGTGTCTTGCGAAACATATGAAGTTGGGGATGTGAATGAAGAACTGGAAGTAGAAGGTGGATGTGGCATCTGAATAGTCTGAAGGTCAGCAGCTAACAGACTCATGTCCAATCGAAATAAAATATCATTTATATAGCGCTGAGCCAAAGAGATCTCCATCCTGGACTTGTCACAATTTCTTATTTTATTTGCAACCTGCTCGCCATATACTGAATGCTCATCTTTGGCTGTAACAACTTTTGATAGAGACTTGAGGCAGTTCACAGCTTCTTGTGCAGTGGAGTCCTCATTTTGTCGGACGCGTTTGGGAGTCCATCTTGGGGCTTTGAATGGTGGGTGTTTGTCCTCACATTCTGCATCTCCATTTGCTTCATCTTGTTTCTGATTATCAGCAGCATCCAACAGGACGTCCTGAAACAAAAAGAAATTCGTTCAAAATATGAGCCACCAAGACATTAACAGAATAGTTTTTTTTATAAAACAGAATAAAATAATCTTAAATTGATTTGCTTCGCCCGGGACCTAGTGTGAACAACAGGGAGCCCGGCAAATATGGCGAAAGCCTCCGCTGAGGACTGATCTAGGAGGCGGATGGCGAAAAGTGTGGCCTACTCTGTATCCCTCCACCCTGTAAGCCCATAAGGCCATAACATTAATTTTATATTTGATGTACCTAAAAGTTAACATAATCTTTATTAAAAATATCCCATCGTTTCCTCAGATTCCCTCATAAGTTAATGCAAAAAATATATTTATAAACAATTTATGATTTTTTTTTTGTTTCAGAGACCGACTTCCGAAGCAGATTGGAAAGCTATTTCCCAGGAATTTCAGTGTAGATGGAAATTTCCACACTGTATAGGTAGCATTGATGGTAAGCACGTTCAGACGGTGGCCCCACAACACAGCGGAAGCTTGTTTTACAACTACAAGGGTACATTCAGCATTGTGTTCCTTGGCGTTGCAGACGCCATCTACAACTTTTTGTACGTCGATGTTGGATGCCAAGGACGTATTTCTGATGGGGGTGTTTTTAAGTGTACTTCACTATACAAGGATCTAGAAAACAATACCGCACACGTACCTAGAAGTGACGCATTACCAGGAAGAACGGAACCTGTACCATACGTTCTTGTGGGAGATGATGCTTTTGCTATGTCTAGTTATTTGATGAAACCGTACCCTGGTCGTACACTGGAAATTCCAAAAAGAATGTACAACTATAGGCTAAGCAGAGCTGCTCTAAGAATAATAGAAAATGTTTTCGGTATCATGTCTTCCAAATTTCGGGTGTTGCTTAAGCCGATAGCTCTACAGCCAAATAAGTGGAGTCCGTCGTGTTAGCTTGCGCCTACCTGCACAATTTTTTACGTCGGAATTCAGAGTCAAGATATGCCTACACCCCATCAGGAAGCTTGGACTCGTACGATGGTGATGGAAATGTAATTGAAGGATTTTGGAGAAGGGAAATTAATCATCAAGAGAATCGTTTGATGGATCTCCGCAACGCTCCTCGAAGATGTTCAGCAAACTTGTATAAAATTCGTGATGAATTTTGTGAATACTTTGTTTCTCAAGAGGGAGAGGTAGCTTGGTAATACGATTCAATATCGTAAAGCTATTCAGTTTTTGGTTTGCTTTACATATAGAAATATTATCTGTGGTCAAAAATTAATTATCATTATTTTAAAAAATAGAATATAGAATAATAGGTTGATTTAATTCAAAGTAATAACGAAAAACAATGGAAAAAATCGTAGGTAAAGAATAAATGTAATTTAATAAAGTAATTTTTACTTACATCTTCCTTGTTTTGACTCTGTGTATCATCCAAGTCCGTGTTGCGGCTGCCCTTTGACTCATTCGCTGGCAGTAGGAATAGCAAATAATCGTGGGCAAACTAGGAGGACTTTTTGGGAGAGGACCCACTCGTCGGAAGAATCTTCTTTCGCTCCCGGTTGAACGATGTTTCTAAATTATGTATTTTTTTTCTATTTCTTCGATTGAAACCATGTGTTTTGCAGCCAGTAATTCCAGGGCCGCTCTTCTTTTCACCCGGTTCTTGTAATCGGGACTCGTTACATCCCACAAACAAAACGAGGTATGATAGTCTTCAATAAATTTTAAAACTTTGTCGTTTGACCACATGGTAAACAAAAACAGCAGAGACCGCATGCACTTGTTTACAACGCGAGAGAGGGACTGGGGAATGTCTCGTCTATAGACGCGAAGTACTCACTATCACCTTGTTGCGCAACGTATCCCAACGTTCCATCAAGTCTCCCATTTCAATCGGGAGACTTGAGACCTGCGATTTTGAGTTTCGCAACCGCCCCGTAGACCGGATTTGGTCTATAGTCTACCGAGACATACTGAGACAACTTTAGACATGTCTCTGAGACCAAAATCGCGGGACATGTCTACTAGTGAGTACTAGGCTTTACAATCGTGCTTAGCTTTGATGGTATGAGAGTCTTATAGTTCGCACTTGTGCAGTCACATCTTTGCTAAGTAGTAATTGTGTTGTTGCTGTGTTGCTTGAAAATATGTAATACAAATTATTTTTGGTGAAAAACTCATGCGTCTGATAATTTTGAGATCAGTATAATGGACTTAAGACTGATTTTGATCTAGAATTCCATGGTGTATCGCTTTAAAAATAAAACGTATTAGGAAAAACCAAATAGTAACCCTGCCGGGAAGACACTATTGCAACGCTCTTGGGTTTATCTATGCCCCAAGCTGTACGCCTATCGTTTACAAAACAATACAAAGTATTGGATTATTTAATCATAATAATAATAATTTACCCTTAAAAAGGCGAATATCATTGCGGATAAGAGCCGTCCCTAGAAAAAAAGTCAATGAATGGAAAAACGTTATGTATGCCTCTATGTGAAGCCCGGATTTAGTCAGCAGCCAGCGTGAATGTGATGATTTCCGTACATTTGTAGTGTTCTTTTTATACTCATCTTGCTTTTGGCATATTTTGCGCTTCTGTCGTGACGACCTCACACTTTTATTAGTGTCACATTTTAATACTTTTTTAAGGTATGCATCTTAATGATTTGTGAATGTAGTATTTTTTGTACTTTAATATTTGTAACCTTCTCTTTTTCACTTTTCTTATACTTTTCGCATAGTTATAGCTTCAACGTATTTTTAACTCTAATACTATTTTAAACAAACAAATAGCCAGTGCCATTTCACGACTCAATCATCATTTGTTTCACCAGTGACCCTATAGAGAACATCAGTGCGTGAGTGAGTGATAACCAGAAGCTTCCAACGCATAAATTACGACCATAATGGCAAATGTGACAAAAATAGGATTACTTCCACTCACAAGATTTCTTTTTCATGGCACTGCTTTAATTTGTCATTGTTGTTAGCAAATCTGTATTGTTGGCAAATAACTTATTATTATTACATCATTCGTTTTTGTATAAAATTACCCGTTTTTTGAATTCTTTATTGGACGTGAAAAAGTTTCTAAATCAAACTTAACTTCTATCGATATAAGACAGCACAAAGTTCCGTGAGAGTGAAAAGAGTGTGTTGGATTTGTACGCCACTTCGGATTGTCAGCCGAGTCACTACTGTGGCCGCTAGATGCCACCGATACTGGTGCTATAGTAGATATAGAAGATACAATGCGAACTGTGATACAGTTCCAATAGACACGTTCCTGTTTTCACCCTCGCAGTGGTCGGGTAACAGATGGCACCTTATGCTGTGTTATTTCGGTAAACCTTATATTCTGTATAGAGGATAGTAGCTATGCTTTTGTTTGTTGTCCGAGAAACTAAGCCTACACTATGCTGATGAGTTGCCAAACAGCACGGAACAGCTATCCATGACTGTTCGAGCGAAAGGTATATTATTACTAGTTCAAACTGAACTTGCAAAAATAATATTGATCCCCTGGGGCGTACACATTCCGCCTAAAACCCCGGATTTACACGATTTCCTCATAATGGCTTCCTTGGAGCTGTGTTCATTTAACGACTTCAATTATCATTTGCTTAACAATCATCTCATAAATTGGTGTAATAACTGTTGCAATATAACTTGCCGCCGCCCAGTCGCTTCGCTTATGAGCATGTGTGTGAGTTGAAGCTCCACCTTAAATCTGTATTCCTGTACGTATCATAGGCGTTACTCTAAACCAGTGGTCGTCAACCTTTTCAGTGTGTTGAGCTACTTTGATAATTTTTCAATTAACAGTCAGCTTCCTAGTCGTAAGCATTGTAAGCCAACTTAAATGAAATTATACACAGTCGTATGCGACATACATGTATTTATTTTACTAATACTAATACAAACTAATAAACTTAAATAAACGAATAACTAATAAATACTATATAACGACATCCATTCCTATCAATCGTAGATGTTTGAAAAATAAACAAAAATTTTCGTCAGCTACAATGGCATGTTCCATACGATTTAATAAAGGTAACTAAAAATAGAAAAGCAACGCACTATTTTAGACAAAAACATGTCCACATAAAAAATGCGTGTTCAATGACACTCAGACTCACTGTCAAGTTCTTTAATGTTTAAAATGGAATTTCATACCGTCATTCGAATAGAATTATCCAAAAGTTCATCTTTAAGTCGATTACGGTATTTGTTTTTAATAAACTTCATATTTGAAAAAGAAGATTCACACAAATAGGTGGAACCAAATAACGCTTTCACTTTCAAGGCAACACGACAGAAAACTGAATATTTATCTTTACTTACTGTAGGCCAGACACATTTTGTATTTGAGACTAATGATTTTAAAGCTGAATCATTTTGAAACGCAATCACCTCCATTTCTGTCGCAGCGATGTCTTCGCTAAAATTCTGCGTAACAGAAGTTGCAAACTGTTGGATATCAATTTCCATGAAGGGTGAAATAACAAATTGCGCCACTATAGCAATTTCGTTGGAATCCTTGAAACGATTTTTGAAGTAATGCTTCACAAGCTACAGACTATTTCTACATGATCTTTCCTTTCATGTGGTGCTTATGGACTTTGAGATATATTTTCTGAAAGAGCAGGAAAATTTCGTCGATTAAGTTTTGTTCCCAAAACTCAAGCTTTTTGATAAACGCTTTTATATCAGAAATCATTTCTGCTAGTTCTTTGTCTCTCCCCTGAAGCTGCAAATTAAGTTCATTTAATTTTTCCGTAATATCCACAAGAAAACCAACATCTCTAAGCCAGATTGAATTTTCCAGTTCCGGAATCGGTTCATCACGTTGTTTGGGAAATTTAACTATGGCAGATATGATAACATTAAAACGTTTCAGCACTAGACCCCTACTTAACCATCGGACTCCAGAGTGAAGAAGTAGTTCCCCGTATTGACAGTCAATATCATCGGCCAAGGTTTTGAATAATCTTCTTTGTAACGCTTGAGCTCTAATCTTGATTACAATTTTTACTACCAATTTCATAACATTGTTTAGTTTTAGAAATTGTCCACACAATGCTTGCTGATGGATAATGCAGTGGTAACAGAGAAATTTTGGAAAACTTTCATCTTTACGACATAGCCCCACGAGACCCTTATCACGACACACCATAGCTGGACCGCCATCGGTTGTCAAGCCTACTATTTTCGGTATAGGAATTTTCTCAGAAAAAATAATATTCTTAAAAGAATAAAACAAGTCCTGCCCAGTATTCTCTCATTTTCGTGGAATAAACTTCAAAGGATCTTCTTTTATTGTAAAATCACTAAAAACCATCCTGACGAACACGGCCATCTGAGAGGTGCCAACGACATCTGCGGATTCATCCAGCTGCAGTGAAAAATAAGCACAGTTATCGAAGTCATTTCTTAACTGTACAACTATATAATTGCTCATTACGTCTACTCGTCTCATCACAGTATTAGCTGAAAGATGCATACAGTTTATAGCTATCTCGTCTTTATTCCTATAGTTGGCAAATAATGAATCTGCAGCTTCTAAAAACGACTGTTCTATCATTTCCCCGTCTTCATAAGGTTTCTTCTTTTGTGTAATTATCTGGGACACGCGGTATAATGCTTCAGTTGCAGCCTTGCTTTTGGTGATTGCTTTTAAAAGCATTGTCCGGTTAACCCATTTTTCAATTGTTTCAGTTTTTCGGTTCTGGTTGCAGAACGTAATGGGAATGACAAATTCGAATGTACAGTTTTATAGTGCCTCGCGATATTCCCTTTTTTAGCAACGGAAGCAGATCCATTACATAACAAACATACATTTTTACCTTTAACCTCTGTAAAGAAATATTGATCTTCCCATGCCGAATGGAAATGGTATGTCTTCATCTTCTTACTACTGCTAATAATGTTTTTGATTG